AGGTCAAGAATCAGCAAGTGGGACCTCATAAACTAAAAAGCTTCTGTACATCAAAAGAAGCAACAAGAAAGTGAAAAGCCATAGAGTGGGAGAAAATCTTCATCAGCAACACATCTGACAGAGGTTAACATCCAGTATAAAGAACTCAAAAACCAAAGGATCAAGAAAGGAAGTAACCCAATTAAGAGATGGGCTAAGGAGGAGCCTCTGGCTCCTTTCTTTTACTGGTTCCATCTCTGTGAAGATAAGTCAAAGGTCTTGTTCAACCGTGGCTGGCTTCACTTGGAAGCATGGAGCAAATGTTTACTTTGTGTTGACCCTCCTCTTTGTAGCCTGGACACTGGTTCAAGTCCATCTGGTGGTGTCTCCATGGCCTCCCTGAACAAGAGGACAGGTGACTCACCACAGTTACAGGACATTTTGAGAGATGCTCCATAGTTCCCTGGAACTTAGTTGACCTTGGAAAGCAAGAAGCAAAAACTGCCCTCTGACCATTTTGGTATAGGCCTCAAAGTACGGCTATTAAACATCCAAGGTTAGTTCCACCAATCTGGTACTTTTAATTACCATGTGCTATGTAGGCAAAGCTTGGGCTAAAGGCTACATAACAAGAAACAACGCCAGACAGGAGGTATCTTTGAGTTGCTGGCCAGGGTGGCCCAAGACGCAGACAGTAACCCAGCATAGAACTGGGAAAATGAATAGCAGACCCCCGACCTTATCAAAAGGAATGTTGGCAACTGATTGCTGCTAGATGAAGAAGAGCTGAGCCTCCTAAAACAAGGGACTCTAGATAGGCTGACTAGATTCAGTAGATGGACAAGCACTGGGGAATGGCTGGGGGCACTGACAACACAGTAGGCAGTAACAGGGATGACAGAATATATGGGCTTCAGTGGGTGGGGGAGGCTATGGGAGGGTGCCATTTGGGATGCAGGTATAAAGATGAGTAAGATTGTTTGGGATGTTCTGTATGAAATACACACAAAATCAATAAAATAATAATAATAATAATCATCATCTTGTGTCTAAAACTATCTTCAAGCTCGCAGGCCAGATGTGAAGAAGGGCCTATAGAAACTAATGGCTGCCAAACAGGTGACGCAAAACTGACTAAAGGATCATCATTCACAGTGTGACCTAAGCTCAAGAGATGCTATCCCAACACACCTGATAGTTCCCTGCGCAGCTGTTACAGAAACATGCTTCAGTTGGCCAAAGAACAGTCTTCTGTTGGATTCTGTGTCATCAATGCTGCAAAGCAAGCCTATCATCTAGAGGATACAACACACATGGCCAGTCTTCATGCACAATGAAGTTCTTCAGAAAGTCTAAAGAAATATGAACATCATTGAACAGAATGAGTGACAACTCTGTGCTGTATATAGAAGGATTCAGCAGTATTGTAAGGAGATTCCTAGAGATTCCTCTGAGCTTGAAGAGGCTACTCACAAAAAGCTGCCATCTCTGTACTTTCTCCAGGCATTAAAGAAGGAAAGTCAATCCTTGACATGCCTACCTGCAGGTACTGGAAATGCCTAAGGGAAGGCTGTGTACCACAGGTTGATCAACAGATTGAGAAGCCTGGTTGGTGCTTCGAGGATAGTCAAGATGAAGGCTTGGAACTGGATCTGTCTTTCATTGGCTCTCATGCTTTTGCTCAAATGGAAGGAGATACTGATAAACAAACATGGCTGATCTCCCAGGGACAATTGTCTGAAGCCACCACAAAGCAGCATCAAAGAAATTATAATCACTGGTTCTACCGAGCAAGATCTGAGGATCTGTCTAATATTGCTTCTCCAAAAGGCTTACACCAAATAGGTGTTGGTTACAGGTTACAGTGATGGTGATAGTCGGAGGAAATATTTCCGTTAACATTGATAGACATGGACAGGTGTTTACATTTTATCCATGTAATGGATCCCTTTGGTGTGAAGGAATATGTGGTAGGATATTTTCACACACTACTAGTGAATATAATCATGTGGACTCAGATTTCCTGAAGAAGCTGTACAATGTTGATATCAAAAATAAGAGGAATTTGAAGGCTACTTTGTTCATCCGGCATTTCATTCAAAGGTTTCAACATGGTTATTTACCACCTTTCTCTTTCAAACTTTAGATAAGTTGTACCGTGGGGACAGCCTGCACCAGCTAGTTCAGCCGTATCACTAACACAGATCTACTTTTCCTCCTTTTGTCCTGGAATACAATGCCAGAAAAAAACAGGCTAAATTTACATCTTATCCTCCATCACCTGATCTGTGACCTTCGCGTCTTCCAGTGCTTCCCGATTACAAGGACTTACTGAAGTGCTGTCCATTTCTGCTGTAGAGATCCAGTCTTCTGTCCCCACCTCACTGGTATTTTCTAATTGACTATTTTCTGGCACATAAGCAGTCTAAAAAGGGTAGGCCATTGTGAACCGCACACCTTCTAAATTTGTGTATTTTTATCAAATAGAAATGTTCATTTTTAAGTGTTAATAGAAATTGGGGGTGAGCTGTAGTCCGCATCAGGCAGGCCATCAGCACTGCTCACATCATCTCTTAAACACTGAATGCTTCCTTTGTGTACTTGATTCTCAGAATACATAGAAACAATGCATGCTCACACACACACACACAACTACGTCTTAACAAGTCCTGGAACTCACTATGTAGACCAGGCTGGCCTCGAAGTCACAGCAGTCTGCCTGTCTCCTCCTGCTCCTGAATGCTGGGATCAGAGGTGTGCACCAGCATGCCCAGCTCAAGTCTCTAATTTTAAGAATGAGTTTTTCTTTTGTTTGTTTTGTTTTTTGTCTTTTTGAGACAGGGTCTCCCTGTAGCCTCAGCTGTCCTGGAACTCACTATGTAGACCAGGCTGGCCTTGAACTCACAGAAATCCGCTTGCCTCTGCCTCCGGAGTGCTGGGATTAAAGGCATGCGCCACCACGCCCAGCTTAAGAATGACTTTTAACATGGACATAATCTGTACTAGTGATTTTTAAGTAATCTTGCAACCAAACATTGTAAACAAGGGCAGTGAGCCATGTGCTCCTCTTGTGACCTGGGCGCCTGCCCTTAATCCCTCAACACCCCACCTTGCCCTCCACCCACAATAGTGAATGAACATGGTGTGCCTGCACTGATTAATGTATCAAAGTGCTTGAAGCAGTGCTATTCTTACGCGAACAATTCGAAGAATTGAGAGGTCTGTTTGAAATTGTGCATTCGGTATTTTAGGCTTAGGGATCAAAGGGCAAGTTTCTTTGATAAGGGTGGATCCTAGCTTCTATTTCCCCAATTCATGCTGGAGATGTTGTTTGAATCCAAGAGTAAAGCCTGATTCAAGAGCACAGTTCCAGGAGTTGAGGTTCCACTCCTAGCCTTTAAAAAACAAAACACTAATAGGCTGTTTCTCTCTCTATTCAGGTGTAAGTGCAATGAGACTTGGTAACACCACACCTAATGAGATATGTTACACTACCAGAGAAGCAAAAATCAATTCTAAGAATTATGTGGGTGAGCATGTGAGTAACTGGAAAAAATACTGTTAGAAGAATGTGCTGTTTGCTACCTTGTAGAACCACCTTGGAATTAGGCAAAGATGGACATAATTCTATACCTAGATGCATCCCTCCAAAAAACACATGCACAGTCACGAGACATGCAAAACCAACTATGTGCATGAACCAGAACTGTCGCTGTAGAATAAACTGCGAACTGTGAACTTAACCATATACAAGAGAGTCTCACAAAAGTAATGTATACAGTATGAATCTTAGCATATGTAAAGACAAATTAGATATGGCTATACAAATACAAGTATACATCAAAAGATAAGGTCATAGTAAAACTACTTCAGAGAGGGGAGGGGTTGAATGAGACTGGAAGGGGCCATGCAGATATTGGTAAGATTGGGAGTACAAGAGTAGTTAGATGCACCTGTACCTGCCCTGAATTCCATTTCTCATTCTTTGGTTACACTTTATATTTTAACACTGTATTTTAAAAACACTACACCCTTTATTAGCGGCAACAGTGAAAAGGAAGTGAGACAGCTACCTGCCACACCACGCATCTGAAACAGCTGCTTTGGGGCTGGTGAGAGAGCTCAGAGGGTAAAGGCACTTGCCGCACAGCCTGACAACCTGAACTGAATCCATGGATCCCATAGTTGAAGGAGAGAACTGATTCCTGAAAGCTGTCCTTTGACTTCCACACAAATGCTATGGCATATATAGGACCCCGCCCCCATACACACACACACACACACACACACACACACACACACACACCTGGCATTTTGTTGCCAAAGAGCTCAATCTGAAACCCTTACGGGAGTTCAGTCCCCAGAGCCCACATAAAGGTAGATGGAGAGAAGCAACTCCACTTGTCTGACCTCCACAGGCACACAGGTCCCTCACTCCAACACATCTCACACACACACACACACACACACACACACACACACACACACAATAAAATAAAATAAAATTTAAAGCTGCTCATGTTAAAAAGCCTTGACTCCTCACTTGGGCCAACAAGTCACCTTGGATTCCCAGAACAGAAAAACTTCAAGGGACAGCAATTACTAAGGCTCCACATTGTGTAGCAGAAGTGGCCATCTCCTGAAGGACTTCTTTGAACTACCTTTCAGGACCCCAGCTCTGATAATGGATGGGACTATGTTACCCAGGACCACTAGTGATGCCTACTTCATGCTCCTTACCCTAATTCTTCTCAACCTAAAGCTCATGTCAACCCTAAAGATGAACATGGACTTTGGGTCACTTTATCTGACCTTGTTCCCAATGAGGGCACAAGGACTAAATAAATACCTGTTTTTCAGGAATAGTAATGCTCATTTCTTTACTTGTGGTATCTGGACTGGTGACTGAACCCTGCCTGTTGGGGCTGCTGGAGCCAGGACTTTTGCCCTTATCTAGACGCACTAACTAGATCATCTAAATTTAAAAATAAGAGAACAAGAAAAACCAGACCACTGAAGAATGCTGCTTAATTATATGTGATTGTTTATTTAAAATACTTTCCACACCTTCCAATGACTTAACAGCCTTTGCTCCACTTTTGTGTCAAATGGCGATCAACACAATTTTTGTATTTTAACCACCAGGTATGCTATATTAATAATATATTAATACCAGGGCCAAATATGTCAATCAGTGAGTAGTAGAGATTTAAATGGACCATGATAGCTATGGTGTCGCTGGAGGATTCCAGGGGCTTAACGATGCTGGATGTTCTTTGAGACCCTTCCTCCAACTAGCCACGTGATTTAAACAAAACACGCTTCCTTCTGCCATAGGCCTTCTCTGTCATCTTTAAAATAAAGGCCTAAAGATGGGACTTAAACGTTTTGCTAATCTATATACAAATCAATGATGACATTCCCATCATTTTCACATTCTTCTGTTTTTTGAAGATAAGGTATTACTCTGTGGCCCAGGCCTCAAACTCACTCTATAACCCAGGATGGCCTCAAATTCCAGACAATCATCCCGCCTCAGTCTCTTGAGTGCTGTGATTACAAGCATGAGCCACACCACACAGCTTACTTTACTTTTGTTTCATCTTTTTTACTTCTTTACCTAGAAAGCCTAATTTTCCATACTCAAGTAAACATGAATTCATTAAAAAGTAAAAACAAATCCATAATATTCTTATTCTGGTACATCTGAATTGAAAAGATTCCTTTCCCTTGAATTTTCATTTATTATTTACTTAAAAGTCAGTGATGATAAAGTCACACCTATAAAATAAATGCATTTAAAAACATAAAATACATTTCAAAAATGCAACAGTCACAATAATCTACTGTATGCTTTGTCAAGGTCAACAGAATGAAAGACAGTATGAAAACATTAGTCTTCAAATTTATCCCTAACCAAACTCTCCTGAATAAGATCATTGAAAAATATGTATGCTTAGGTATCTGGACACCAGCTCCAAAAACACAGGGCTGTGGAAGAATAAACAGAGCGAAGAGAGGAAGACACAGGTTTGGGGAGCAGTGAGGACAGGGAGGTGAGATGAAGACAATCCCCAGATAAAAATTCATGTGTATCAAAATTCAAGATTCAGCTTCTAAAACAATGAAAAACAAACAGACAAAAGACCAGCGTGTTGGTCTGGGGCCATATCTCTGTGATAGAACACTTGCCTAGCACATGTGAGGCCCTGGGTACAATATTAAGTACCACCAATTTCTAACATGATTTTTTTTAGATAGAAAAAGACAGGGCATTTCTTAATCATAGTTTAATAATTTCCTAAGAAAAATTATACACACCTCCATGCCACCACCCAGAGCCAACAAATCCTTTCCATAAAACTGTCTCTCACATTACCAAAATACCATCATTTAGACAATTTTGTGTTCAGAGTATTTTAATTGATTCATATATGCAGAATTATTGGAGCTGAGATACTTGAAAAATATTGAATGACAGTAAAGAAATAGTAGTTCTTTCACAATGATTGAGTTTCTTAAGCAAATCTGGGCAGCTGCTGTCATAGTGATGCTGGTGGTAATAAGTGGTACACCTGAATTCTTCCCTTTAAGTTTATATATTCATGTAACACTAAGGAGTAGACAGGCTACGTTATACACTTTCTTAACAAGGAATGACTGTTTGCAGGCCTTACTAGGAAGAAAAAAACGACATTTTCTCCCTGTTTTATCACTGATACTCTATGTACCTTAAGTACGTAACACTGAGCAAAGGATGAAAACCATAATAATTCTAACCAAAGAAACAAAGTATGGGAAGAAGTTAAATGAGCATGATGTGGGTCCCAAAGATTGCACTATGATTCTGAACCAAATTTTAACACAAAGGAATCTAACGTAAATTTTGTGATTAGCTATTTATACTAAAAAGATCCAAAGCAAATGTAGGCAAGCTTGGCCCTATATTGTCAAAGATAAATATTCAGATAAACTAAAAGTCCCATTGCTAAAGGGCATTAGCTGACCACAGCACTCTGGCCCTGCTGCTAGGAACTACCTAAAAAGGGGTGGTCATGTGCCTGCTCACTCACTGCCTGAGCATTCACACGCAAATGGGGCAGCAGATGCTTTTAAAATCTAATACTTTACACAGTGAATTACTGAAAACAATCCTAAATATACTACCTTTTAAAATTCTAGAGAGTTAAGATAACCTCATTGTCTTTAAACACTGAGAATGTGAAGGTCCATATAAACTACTCGTGTTGTGTCCACTTTCTACTTTAACACTCCCTTGCTGTGCTCTTAAGATCTCTATGAGAGAAGCAGGAATTTTCCCTGGATCTTTTGGCAATAGATTTAAAAGCAAAAGTTGCAGGGCTGTACAGTTTCATGACACTGTGATTTTTAAAGCTAAATTATTCAGTATGCTGTCTTATTATTGCACACATACATTGCCCGGAATATACCTCAACAAAAGTAAATAGTCTACAAAGTATTTGATTTCCTTATTAGGTAAGAAAGTTCTTATAAAGGAAATGCAAACTGCAGATCAAATCAGGTTATATATCCTTACCAAGTACATCAACCTCATATAAAAGGAAAACTAACCCGTGCCACTACAAAATCCTGACTACTGCTGCATTCCACTTTGAAACTGAGTTACAACAGCATTTCCTGAAGATTTAAAGAAAAATAGATTTTAGAAAAGAGATTCTTTTAAATCACTCAATACATCATTTTGTTAATGAAATAATTTATATTTTTTCTGCTATAATTCACTCTGATGTAATTCTCTCCTAACACCTACTAAATGCTACATTTTCAAGACTAAAGGAGTAGTCAGAAGGGATTCTGTCATGTTTTCAGTTACTTGTCTCTGAAATATGTCAAGTAAGCTTTTAAAGACTCGGGGAGCGGCAGCTTCATGATCTTTTCTCTCAGTAGATTCTGCGGTGGCTCCTCAGGCTTCATGGCTTCACTGAGATCTTTCTCTTCCTCTTCTTTGCTGTCTTCTTCCATTTTCTCATCCTCCTCACTATCTAGAGGCTGGGGAATAAGCTGGTTACCCACGAACACGTAGGTGTTAATTCTCTGTTTAACTCTCTTTCTCTTCCTCTTTGGCAGAGCCCTTTGAGGAATCCCCTTGGCCTGCATCTCATCGTTTATGAAATTTCTAAGTGTGCGCCGAATGTAAATCCGTGCTAAGTCTTGTAGATTCCTGACAGCACACGGAGCTAAAAAGAAACACAAAGAAGAAAACATTATACACTGCTCCACTGCTCGTTTCTTCACAGAACAAGGGTCTCTTAGTGACCTTCACAAAACACAAAACTATACAGTCTGGCTCCGAGGGACCATAATATACAATGAGCATCATTCTACACACTGAGCAGAGGTTAAAAGGAGGGGAAAGTCTGTGCTGCTGTCTGTGCGTTAAGGTTCTCTGGAGGAAGGAAAAGATATGAAACCAGAGTGAGGGCAAAGTGATTACGGGGCAAGGGCAGGAGCGATTTTGCCCTGAACATCTTTTATACTGTTTTTGTGTTAAAGCATATGATGGAGAAGATTACCTACTCTAAAAACTCAACGTAGCATTTCAACAGCTGTGTGTCCTTACCTGAAGCTGTAACACCACACGCACACGCACACGCACACGCACACGCACACGCACACACACACACACACACACACACACACACACGCGCACGCGCGCGTGCGCGCACGCGCGCCTTCCATCTCTGTAAATCAACAACCAGAACTGGTTCATGGGAAGGATATGAAAAGTCCTAGAAACACTAGTGGTATTATTTCAAGTTACTGATGTATATTTACATTTATTTACATTAAAGAAATGTGTCTTAGAATGTGGACACATTTAGTATCTTCTTCATCCCGATCTCCCATACAGAAATGCATAAGTCAACCACAGTCTTCCTTGTAGCCTGTATCAATACTTTACACATTGAGAAATAAATTTCTCTGTCCCATTTGAAATTGATTTCTCCTGGTTTTCATCCCAGTAGAACTAAAACTATTACCGAGGATCTTTCTTGGATATTTAAAATAACCTTGCTCATTTAAGCACCATTAAAAGTCTTCATCTGCAACCTAGGCATGGTGGTATACACCTTTAAACCCAGCACTCAGGAGGCAGGAGGTGGATCTCTGTGAGGCCAGCCTGGTCTACATAGAGAGTTACAGGCCAGCTGGTGCTACAGGGGGACCATCTGAAAGACAAAAAAAACAAGTCTTCATCTCTCTTCACTCTTGGCACTCTTTACTGTAAATTTCCCTCACCAATTTGTTATAACATCTAAAACGCTGTCTTCATTTGTTATCTATGTATGGTGTGTTTGCCTTCAGACAGTGTCCTAGTTAGCCTTCCATTACTATGAGAAACCAAACAAAAGCAACTTGGAGAGGAAAAGGTTTATTTGGCTTACAGGTTACAGTCCATCATGAAGAGAAGTCAGGACAGAACTCAGTGCAGAAACCTGCAGGCAGGAACTGAAGCAGACACCACAGAGGATGGTGGCTCATTCCTCTAGTTTGAGCTCAGCCTGCTTTCTTACACATTCCAGGCCCACCTGCCCAAGGGTAGCATTGCTTACAGTGGGCTAGGCCCTCCCACTTCACTCAACAACCAAAAACTGTCTTACAGACACACCCACAGGCCAATCCTATACAGAAAAGTCCCCAGTGGAGGCACCCTCTTCCCAGGTGTGTCAGGTTGACAACTGACTCTAGCCAGCAAGGATGGCACGCTCCAGGATTAAGACACTATGCCTCATGTTCTCTACCATTCACAGTGCCTCACCCTGCCCAGGGCTCCCAGCATATTTCCTATGCTTTCCTCACCAACCTCAGCAGTCAGGGCCACCCTGTAGTAGTATGGCTTTTTACTAAACTTTAAGGTAGGAAACATTTAAACCTAATTCAAAGATTTTGCACACACCTACTGGCCTACTACCAACCTCTTCTTTAAGCTTTTTCCAACTATCTCTTGAAACCTGAAACAGAAATCCCAAAGGACCATACAGAAACTATTTTTAACTTGGTCTGGATCTGCCTTCAATTGTATGGAGTAAATGAAACTGAAATAAGAACATTTGAGTGGCTGGGGATATAGCTCAGCTGGTAAACTGCTTGCCTAGCATAGCACGCGCAGGGCTTAACTCCCAGCTCACATAAACTGGGTGTAGTGCCGCACACTTGTAATCCCAGAACATAGGACATGGAAGCAAAAGGATCATAAATTCAAGGTGATCCTTGGGTATGCAAGACATTGAGGGTCAGATGGGCTAGAGACCCTATCTCAGAAAATAAAAATTTAAATAAGAATTTGAATCCAAAGTTTTGTGAGCATGAATAATTAACAGTAAACATGAGATATTATTTCTTCTATGTTAAAATGTACAAAATACCATGTGCTCTGCCTTCCTTACAAAGTTGTTCACTATATTACTTATCATTCACTTAACAAATTACATGTTAAACAATAGCCCAGGCACATAAAATTCATTTAGATACATGACTGACTTAAATTATAAGTTCCTGAATACAGGGATCTCAGATTTGGAGCAGAGAAAAGGACAGGGGAAAAGAGGAGATATGAAGAAAAGAAAATAGTCATGTAACAGAAAGTGACTTGGCTGTATGGTAACTTTCAACTAAGTGATCACAAAGCTCTCCCTGAGAAGGCTGTGTTCAGCTAGCATCTAAAGGAAATGAACTACCTAACAGCCATGTAAATACTATCCGGCAGAGGCAAGAGCAAAGCCATAATAGGTAGAGGAGCTCTGCATGCTCAAGGACTGAAAGAAGACTGCAGGTAACAGCTGCATAATCCACATGGTGCAACCACGCTGACAGTAAATGGCAAGACAGATGGAGGCAAACAGGAAAAAAATGTCAGATCGACTCTGCAAATCGCATGGAAATGGATTGGCTATGGGACCTGACGGGAAAAGAACAGTATCAACTAAAACACTCAGTGTCCGGCCTGAGCTGCTGGGCAAGTGAAGGTGTGTGTCAGATGCAAACATGACACAAAGGAGGGGAGAACAGGACGAGAAGAATATTATAAAGTGGGTTTTGTTTGTATTGACTCTGAGGTGCCCATCACTATCCAAAATGGGCATTTCAAGAACAGTAACAATGATTACAGGACTAGGGCTCACTGGCCAGCCTACCTAGCCAAACACAGCAAGCTCCAGGTTCTGTGAGAGGCTGAGTCAAGAGATAAGGTGGAGAGTAATAGAGGAAGACACCTGACATCCTCCTCTGGCCTTTGCATGAATGTGCATGGGCTTGCCACCTACAACCCCTTCCCACTGCCTCCATACATATTTGTGTATTCACAAACATATCTAACACATACACAAAAATAATTTTTTAAAAACCTTAACTAAGACAGAGAAAGAGAGAGGAGAGATAAATAATGCCTAGTTAGTATAAAAAAACAGAGGGAATCATATTAGTCCAAAAACCTACTGAAAAATTACACATACAATATCTCTACATGAGTTCGTGTATATAGCTAAAGACTACATGACAAGAAACTGTGCCAGACAGGAAAAACCTTCCTTTGAGTTGCTGGCCAGGGTAGTCCAAGAGACTTCCAAAATTACACAGGCTATTGCCACAGCCCTTGATTGCCTGTCAGAACAAGAAGGTAAGACTCTATTGCTGAAGACAGGGCATACCTCGGACACAAGGCTTGGAGCAGTGGAACTGGAGCTGACCTGGAAGCCTCCTCCCCTGAAGGCTAGCTCTCATAGTGTTGGAAAAGACTGTGAAAGTTGATAAAGGAGAACATCAATCAATGGTCCAACCCCAGTCTCAAGGCCTAAAATCCATATCAATGACCAGCACAGCAAACAACACTGGTGCAATAGTGGCACTTTTATCTTGGGGGTAATCAACAGCTACCTAATTGGCTAAAAGCCCACTCAATGGGTGGAAACTCATGTCTGGTACTATAAATCTAGCCAAATACACATAGCTGGAGAGGTCAGAGATATTAGAGAAAACCCCAAGGCTCTCATATCCCTAGACAAATGTAATTTCTTACCATGTGCAAAATATGGATCCTTAAATTTATAGACAAGTATTCCAGTTACCACCAATCAAAGAAGCTTCTTTTTCAACAGAGATTACTACACTTCTACAACTGGTTACACACAGAGAGATTGTCTGTGAACTGCCCAAGCCTAAGGCTCACAGAATACAGAACAAAGGATGAAAAGAACACTAACGCTTCTTTCAATTCTCAACAATGAAGCTCCCTCATGCAACATAGGGCCACGATCATAAATGGTCACAAATGGCCAAAATGTAGAGATAAGAGTCTACAAAGTATAGGTCCTTGGACAGGACTCCTAAAATTCATCCATCCAAGGCTCAGGGATCATTGCCAGAGAGGGGGCAGAAAGAACCAGGGAGGAGGTGCATGACCATATAGAAACAAGAGTCCTTCAGGCTCCTGGGACTCTTCCCATATGAACCTACAGCAATGATGTCTGTATGTACAAGACACATGCAAACTCAAGCAGCACAGAGCTGTGGAAACGGACAGCTGGTCTCAATCCTAGTTGAAGAATTATTGGCAGCTGATTACTGCTGGGTGAAGAACTCATCCTCTTTAAGGGAGGAGGGACTCTAGATAGGCTGACTAGACCTCAGAAGTTGAACTTGCACTGAGGGACATCTGGGAACACTAACTTGACATGCTAGGTCTTAACACAAATGACAGAATGTATGAATTGCAGTGGGGGAGGAGGGGCTGTGGGAAGGTGTCAATGGGGAAGGGGGTATAAGATGATTAAGATGCCCTGAATAAAACACACAAAAATTTTAAGTCTTATCTAATTTAAAGCTTTTGACCCCAAATTACAATTCTATTTTACAGTAACAGAGGGCTCTTAACTTTCTTTTTTTTAAATAGGGTCTTCTGTAGCCCAGGCTAGCCTGAATTTATTAAGTAGCCAAGGCTAGCTTTGAACTCATGATCTTCTTTTCCACCTCACAAGTGCTGAGCTTACAGGAAGAATCAACACCAACTCATTTTTATTTATTAACAAAGATTGAAAGGAGCCATTTATTTAGGTTGAACTATACAAAAATAACATTTTGGGGGACTGGAGAGTTGGCTCGACAGTTAAGGGCACTGGCTACTCTGGCAGAGGACTTGAGTTCCAAGGGAATCAGACACCCTTTTCTGACCTCTGGGGGCATTGCACAACATGGGTGCACTTATATACATTCAGGAAATACACTCATACACATAAAATAAAAATAAATTTTTAAAATTACATTTGTTTGCCTTTAAAAAGAATAGTTTCACACACACACACACACACACACACACACACACACACGAACAGTTTCAGATAGTAAAGGTTTTTTGTTTGGGGATTTTTTTTGGTTTTTTTTAGTCTTTTTGAGAAAGGAGAAAGGGTCTCTCTGTAGACCCAGCTGGTCAGGAACTCACTATATAGACCAGGCTGGCCTTAAACTCACAGAGATCTTCCTGCCTCTGCTTCCCAAGTGCTGGGATTAAAGGCATGTACCACTACCCCCAGCATATATCAGCTATTTCTATTGGTGTAGATAGTCTTAAATTGAGGAGTAAGGAAATAGCTCCTCACAGCATACCATGCCACTCATCAAGTATGTAGTACGCAATCCTATCTACAGCTAAGACTCACAGAAATGAAATGAAGGAAAGTGTCATATAAAAAGAAAAATAACGGGCTAGGCGTGGTGGCACACACCTTTGATCCCAGCAATTGGGAGGCAGAGGCAGGCGGAGCTCTGTGAGTTCCAGGACAGCCTGGTCTACATAGGGAGTTCCAGGCCAGCTGGAGCTACAAGGAGACCCTGTCTTAAAAAGAAAAAGAAAAAAAAAAAGAAAGAAAATGATGACTGATGGAAGCTTTTATCAGTATGAGTTACAAAGTAAAGCACTTAAATGGCTACTGCATCAAACTTCAGAAGGGACTGCAAGACAGAAGCATGCTTATGTACGCAATGTGCCTAGTTCTAGGGTATATGGTAAGGCCACTGCCACAGGCAACCTGTGCCAGAGAATTTTTTATTACTTCCATTTGGTTACAATACACCAACGTGTCATAAATTGCCATGATGGTAATGTTTGAAAGGTGAGAGGGAAAATAGTTGTAGGCTTTTATTCCTACTGCTAGCATGGAATTTAAGGCAGTGACAGTAACTACAGAATGGTATGGTCTGGTACACGATGCTAGAATGAGCATGTATGTCTACTGAAAGCAGACTTCACAGAAACCGTCATAGAGCAGACACAAGTGACACTCCTGACTCTGCTGTACACCTTCTGTGTCCCAGAAGATAACTAGCACATACTCCTTTTTTGACTAGTTTGAAATAGTATTAACTTTGCCCAGTAACTTCACATTTCTAACAGAATGCATCTTATCTTTCTATAACCATTCTGATTTTTAGCTTTCCTGTTATATGTTTTTGATTTGCTTTGTCTAATACTTATTGTTAGAACAAGTGTATTCAGTATGCATCTCCACACATCTAGGAAGAAGGACTCTCAAATGAGGGATTTCCTACAGCACACTGGCCCGTGGGCATGTGTCCTCCATGCTCCCACAGGACTCCTTCACACTGTCTGGGCTCTGTTCACCTGTATACGTGCCTCCTGTACTTGAGTGGGTCAATCTAATGAAATGATGCAGACCCTAAGCTTCTTCCCTCTCAGTGACTGCTTGATAATCAAGATGGCAAAGTAATCTATAGTTCCCTGACCTCTAAGTCCACTCTTTAAATGGTAAGAACTTTAGTGTGATCCACTAAACTTCCCCAAACTTCAACACTACTTCTTACTAACCAATTACAGGCCACACACTAAGCCAAGCAGTTTAGAAATATTACTTCATAATTTTTCAATCATTTAAAAAAGTTTCAAAGTCAGATGGCTCAAATGAAGGTCCATTTGAGGTCAATAATGAAGGTCAAACAAATACTAGGAAAAAAATGAACTCTGTATAAAGCTAGATCCCTGTGAAATAAAAGCTAATTAAATCAAGAAGTTCATCTTTTGTAAAGAATTTTAACTTTAAAAAAAAATTTTTTTTTTTAATTTTATCTGTATGCATGTATTGCCTGCATGTGGGTAAGTACATCTGTGTCATGCAAAGCCCGCGGAGGTCAGAAGAGGCTGTCAGATCCCCTGGAACTGGAGTTACGGACAGCTGTTAGCTGCCATGTGGGTGCTGGGGTTCAAACCTGGGTCTCCTGCAAGAACAACCAGTGTTCTTAACCTGTGAGCCATCTCTCCATCCCCTCTTTCACTAATGAGTTTTATCTTTAAATCTGTGGGTCACAGGTTCGACACAAACACCTCTTCTCTACCACTTTCCATTAGGTACTTTCATCCATTTCCCAACCAAGCACAGCTTAAAGCACCACCTTTATACAGGATTCTCAACTAATGCTTCCATTGTGATGTAAGTTTGCACCCAAATGGCTACCTGACACTTGTATGCTAACAGACGACATACCCTTATCCAGTCTCTCCATGGATAGACTCCTAACTGGTCTATTTCCCCCTTTTCCAATGATACTCCATCCTCCAGAGCCTTGAAAACTTATTCCTGGTTCTGGCAACTACCAAGTTCTTTATTAGCCTAAAACTTTTTGTAGTCATTATCTCTCTGGAGGAAAAATGCACATGCCTGTTATGCCAGCACCTGTAGGTAAGACATAGGAGGAGGATCAGGAGTTCAAGGCCATCCCCAGCTATACAGTATGTGAGGCTCTTGCCCCCAAAACAAACAAAACAAAATAAAAAATATGCTGCCATGAAATCTTGGCAGTAAGTTCCTTGATAGCATTCCAATCACAGTTCAGCTCTCGCCTCAGCAGTAACACCTTCCTCTTTCCTCCCTCCTTCAGCCCTCCATGACTCTCTCTTTCCTCCCTCCCTCCTTCCTTCCAAACTTATCTAGAGGCTCTCCGTATAGCCAGAGAGTTTCCACCACATCACTGTACTAATCCATTCACTGTGTGTGATTATATGATACAGTAAATCCAAAAGCATGAATTAAATGCTGTAACTAAGAGTCGATCTGACAACCCCAGGTTGACTTACGGAGTCCCACAGCATCCGGCGTGCCGCTGTCGCTCTTACTTGGCTGCACAAGTGGTGCGAATGAAACAGCAAGGATGCTCTTACTCTCCCACGTGTTCTGTCCAGTGCGCATGATCTGTGTCAACTAGGCAGAGTGAAGCAGGAAAAATGTAACACTCTAAGTACTTTAATAAAAACATCGGAAGGGAGCCACTGCTAATGAGAAATATGTAACACTTAAATGCAACCAAGTCGTTTCCATGTGTGTGTTTATTATAATACAGGCATGAAAAATCCCTGCCATCCACTCCCAAGGAAGGAAATCCATGCCTCTAAATCTAGACAAACAATCTCCCCATGACTAGGGAGTTTATAGGGTCTGGGGGAGAGCCTACTATTGGTTTGCTAAATGGACATAGTATTCAACTACCTTCTCAATACACATCTCTATACCCACAGATCAGCACAGCTCAGTCCTCTTTGTGCACTGTACGGTAGTTAAGACAGAAGAAAAATTCGTCAAAGTGCAAAGACTAAGTATCTGTGGAGTTCTCAGCCATAAATGGGACATCTATAGCCTACCCCTCACCCCCAAACCCAGGGAACATCTCGTAAGAGGACAGGCTGAGACTGTAAGTCCTGAAGGGAAGACTGAGAAGAAACAGATTTTCTGGATGTGGCAAGACGATTACACCCATGAATCAAACCAGGCAGCACTCCAGCAGGAGCAGGGAGGGGCTCCAGCTCCATTCTAAGTGAGGAGGGGCCTCCAACTCCATTCTAGGTGAGAGGAGGGGGCCTCCAGCTCCATCCTAGGTGAGGAAGAGAGGGCCTCCAGCTCCATCCTAGATGAGGGGAGGGGCTCCGGCTCCATTCTAGGTGAGGAGGGGTCCTCCAGCTCCATCCTAGGGGAGGGGAGGGGGACTCCAGCTCCATTCTAGGTGAGGAGGGGGCCTCCAGCTCCATTCTAGGTAAGAGGAGGGGCTCCAGCTCCACTCCTAGCTGAGGAAGAGAGGGCCTCCAGCTCCACTCCTAGCTGAGGAGGGACCGCCAGCTCCATTCTAGGTGAGGGGGTCCTCTAGCTCCAATCTAGGTGAGAGGAGGGGCTCCAGCTCCACTCGTAGCTGAGGGGCTCTTGACAATTGATGGCTTCTAGGACATGAGTATATGGCACTGCTAACTGGACTCAGAGGGTTATTTATTTACCTATTTTAAATAAAAAGAAAAAAGAAGACATGAACTGGGAGGAAGACATGGGGGAAAGATCTGGGAGGAGTTAAGGGGAACAACAGGAAGTAAGCATGATGGAAATAAAATATTATGTGTGTAGGAAATTCTCAAAGAATAAATTTTAAAATATAAAAATACATCTGCCATTTAAGTTGGTTTAAAAACAACTAGGAGTGTGTGTGGGCGTGTGTATGTGTGTGTGAGCATATGTGGACATGTGCACAAGTGGAACCAAAAGAATCAGATCCTTTGGGGCTGCAGTAACAGGTATTCACAGAACGCCCACCTTATTACATGAGTGCTGGGATTTGAACTCTGGTCCTCATGAGCACTCTTAACTACTGAGCCATCTCTCCAGCTCCAAGATGGACATTTCAATGCAAACAGGTAAGCCTGTCACACCTGAGGTCTCAGAGTCTTTACATGTACCACAGTAAGACCACACAGGCAGCTGCCTCCCCAAATAAACCTCTGAAACAGGTCCACTTGCTTAGAGCACTATATTAACAAATTCATATTTTCATTACTATTCCACAAGCTGGCTTTATGCTCTTCTATCACAGAAATGTTCTAATCCTATCCTCAATTTGATACTTCACAAATAAATACAGTCAGGGCCAGACAGAATGGCTGGTGCCTGGCACCAAGCCTAACACTTAAGTTTGATCCCTGGGGACCCACATGGTAGAAGGAGAAAACAAACCCCTGTAGGTTGTCCTCTGACCTCCACACGCCTGTCTGCCTGTCTGTCTGTCTGTGTCTGTCTGTCTCTCTCTCATTCTGTCTCTCTCAGACTATCAACTCAGCAAGTATCAACAGTCCTAGGAAAAAAGCCTACTACTGTAACTGATAGTTTTATAACTATGTATCATTAATACTTAATACAATCTTAAGAAAGCAACCTTTAAATATCTGCGAACAGCCAGGTGTAGTGGCACAAGGCTATAACCCCAGCAGGAGCATGTTGAAACATAAGCAGCTTGAATTACAGGGCTAACCTGAGCTAGATGGCAGGATCCTGACTTCAACAAAAAGAAAAATAATCTCAAGGCCTATCACTGGGGCTGGAGAGACAGCTCAGCCAGGAAGAGGGCTTACGGCTCTTGAGCGGTCAGGTTGGCTCCTGCACCCACATGGATGCTCACCACCTGTAACTCCAACTTCTGGGGACCCAATGCCTTCTCTGGCCTCTGCAGCCACCTGCACACATGGTGCACATGAACTCACGCAGGCACACATGGTGCACATGAACTCATGCAGGCACACACTCGTTCACATAAATAAAAGAACAAATCTTTAAAATCAAACAAAACATCATAAAGGAAAACAAAAATAAATGTTTAGCTAGAAGTCTAAGCCTTGTAAATATTCAAGTAATTCAAGAAGCTATGTGTGTATGTGTGTGTGTGTGTGTGTGTGTGTGTGTGTGGTGCTGGGGATGAACTCAGAGCCTCACATGTGAGGCAAGACCTCTACCACTGAATCACATCCCCAGTTCCTCCAGGAACATTTTCTAATGAGTACTTTTTTATCTGTATAATAATTAACCAAAAATCTGCTGTCAAACATGGTACATGGTGAAAGTGAGATCCACTGAGTGCTGATGGACCCCTGAGGTAAGCTCTACAAGCAACATTCTGGGTCTCAGGGAACATAGCCAACCTAGTTCTACAACACAAATAGAAAAGTGTCTTAAACATCTAAAATTTAACTTAATGTATTAAAGATCATATTTCTTTGAAATGTATTTTTATAAATATTAAAGGTAGGTAATTTGGTTTTAAATGATCCTCCTTTCTGAGCAAATTAGTATCTCATTTATTACACTGAATAATTTCAAACAAAGTCAAGAAATAAAAATTAATACTGCTCATAAATAGCTGAATAGTATTTTCAAATCCGTGTAACAGTACTGAATAGCCAGGTGCGGTAGTGCACACCTTTAATCTCAGCTCTTGGGAGGCAGAGGCAGGCAAATCTGTGAGATTGAGGTCAGCCTGGTCTACATAGCAAGTTCCAGGCCAGTTGAGGCTACAGTGAGAATAAAAAAATTTTTTTTGGTCTTTTTGAGACAGGGTGTTCCTGTAACCTCAGCTGGTCTGGAACTCACTATGTAGACCAGGCAGGCCTTGAACTAGCAGAAATTTGCCTGCCTCTGCCTCCAGAGTGCTGGAATTAAAAGCAAGCCCTACCATACCCAGCTGAGAATAAAACTTTTTAAAAAGTTAAGCACTTTAAGCACTTCTCAACATGTTCACAGAGCAGTTGGCAGAGGACACACACTAAACCGGGGTGGGGGTGGGGGGGGTTGTACACTTCTCAGATGAGGAAGCTGGGAGCAGCTTTCTGACCTCCACAGTGGACAGGACTAGCCCAAGTGAAGCTCAAGTCCCCCCCAAACACTGCAGAAGCCTCTACATTTGCTTTGCTTAAATAATTAAGAGTCTGTTTCAAACTTTTTCCTACACACATACACAGATCTGTGAAGACGTTATTTCTTCTTGAATTGCATCCTCCCTGTCACAAGAGCAATACTGCCCACTGTTAAGTACCTGATCCTCTATAGGCATAACTAGTATGCCCCCAACTTTGAGTAGAATCTTCATGTAGTTTTCATGGTCTTTCTGGACTCCAGCTCCACAATAAATTCGATCATACTGATGACTATCAGACGCTATCTGGAGGCAATTACCAACCACAAACGCAGGTTCACAGAATTCAAATCTACATGGAAAAATAAACATTTTAATTTGTTTATACAAAACATAGGTCTTAAAAATCACCATAATACAGTCCTTGAAACAGTAGGATCATCAAAATTAATTTTAAGGTAAAATAAAGATTAGAAAATTTGATTTAAAAAGACTTGTGAAGTTTAAAACTGATCAAGTACATTTGTGTAATCTGTGATAAAGATAATTTCAAAACACTGACCTATCTGGGGACATACTAAAACACCACCTAGGCCAAACAATGATTATAACGAAGAGCCCGCAAATGCCAACCTTGAGATGCCCCCAAAAGATGCCTGATGATTAGAACCCTGAAAGTGAAAAGGGCCTCTCGTTCCGCTGTGTTGTCCTAAAATGTTTAATGTTTAGGGCCAGCAGAACGGAGACAGACGGGCTCGTCCAAGAACTTATCTCTACTCACCAACACTCTTCCTCAAACAGTAACAGAACGTTGTCAAGAGACAGCAGTGGAGGCTACAAGCCCAGCAACCCCTAAGGTTAAGGCGGCTTTCCTAAGGCCGGGCTGAGCAGCATTACAAGACTGCGGCAAAGGGAAGAGTGAACGTTTCTGCAGCTGCTCTTTTGTCCCCTGGGTTCTTTGAGCAACACAAGAAGAGATGGGATTTGAAGTTCATCCTGGCTACCGATTCCTGGTTTCAGTGCTGGCCTGTGGTAGAGTCATACTTCAACAAATCCTCTCTAGAGTTCTACTTTATTTCTCTAATTCTGATAAACAAAGTGAAAAATGGACTACTACATAACATATAATTAAAACCCCAATGCAAATGACCTCACTAAATAACTCAAGCTGGCCTTTGACTCACTCTGTAGCCGAAGCTGGGCTCAGACTCATGAAAATCCTCCTGCTTCAGCCTCTTGAATGCTTGGATTTTAGGAGTTAGTCTTCATTCCTAATCACATCTAATCTTTTAAAACTATTTCTTGGGGCAGTTAAGAGCACTGGCTGCTCTCGCAGAGGATCTGGGTTCAGATCCTAGAACCCACAGCTCACAACCATCTCTAAGTCCCGTTCCAGGGGATCCAAAGCCTCCTTCTGGCCTCCATAGGCACTGAATGCACATGGTACACTTACAGATAAAACACTCATACACAAAAAATAAAAATAAAATATTCTTAAAATAAAAATTCTTATCTTTTAAGTTAATGATAGTAATATGATCATACAAGATTAAGCCAATATTTACAAATGAAATAATTTACATTAAAAGCTTAGCATGCACTGAAAAATGACTCAATCATTTAAATCTCAACCATTTTTACTTTATAAAACATATCCTGCCCTTTGATAACTAATAGTGGACTTATTGCAAAGTTTTCATTAAAACTTACTAAAGTAAAAACATAAAGAACATATTTTCAAATGTTGACCCTGTCCTTAATTCCCTATTGTCTTGTGAAAGAGGTTTAGAGAAAGCAGGAAGGGTGGGGAGCTGAAGCCGCAGTCAGACAGTAGATGGGCACTCTCACTTCCACACCCACACTGCGTCAGCCCAGGCCCACGCCATCTCACTGTGCTTTTCTCATTATTCTGTTCCCTCCTATAGAGTATTTGCTATGTTCTGGATATGGTACGAGTATTTCCCCCAAAGAACATACATACTAGAAGTCTGTCCCCATTGTGACCATGCTGAGAGGTAGTGAGATAGTGAGGAGGGGAGCCCCAGTGGGAGGTAACTAGGTCACAGGGAACAACCTTGAAGGGATTAATGCACATGTCACAGAGGTGGGTTAGGGCTCACAAGTCTAATCAGCAACTACAAAGTAAGACCACCCCAGAAATACTGCATACCACTCTCAAATGAAGGCTCACCATGTGAAGCTCTCTGCTGTCACCACTAGAAAGCACGTGCTCTGTTATGACAACACAGTAGACTTCCTAGCACTGCCCCAATCTGTGTGACATTATGTTACAGTTAGACTGAATTGTTTGTTTCTAATTTTTCATTGGAACCATTATGAAGTAATTTTGAAACCCTGTATCTGTGTATGTGTTGTTCCCTTGTCAAAATGCCCGGCCTTCTTCTCTTAATAAATGTCTATTATTCCTTCAATATACAACTTAAGCATCAGCTTCACAATGAAATCTTTTTTTAAATTTTTATTTATTTTTTTATTTTATGTGTATAAGTGTTATGTTTCCATGTGTGTAAGTGGACCCATGTTGTGCAGTGTCCATGAAGGACAGAAGAGAGCATCACATTCCCTGGAATTGAAGTTACGAACAGTTGTCAATGCCATGTGGGTGCTGGGATCTGAACCTGGGTCTTCTGAGAGAACAGCCAGTGCCCTTAACCACTGAGCCCCGCAATGAAATCTTAATCTTTAAAAGTATTATTTTACCTACATTAGGGATATTTAATTTCTCTCTTAGATAAGACTATACTCCAACCTCTGATGCTTAAAATATGGCCCAAATGTAATTTTTTAATTTGAATAATCTGATATTGTGAGTCACATAATTTAAGCACTTTATCAAATTTACAATGAGTACTTATTTATTTATTTATTTTTTTTATTATTTTTTTTTTTTTTTGGTCTTTTTGAGACAGGGTCTC